TTGAATAGTAAAAAGAGGTATTTTGAAAAGGGTATGATTGAATTTGGGGTATTTTCAATAATTTTCCGAAAAATAATGGGGCTCTTCTTCTCCTCCTCAAAATGGAGGCAGCATATACCTTTAACCTCTTCAAATTATTCCCAAATCCCACTCCTCTGTTGAACTAAGAGAGAATATCCACTGGAGAGTCTAATTTCATGGCCCTCAGATTCCCTTTCTTTCTTCCTTTCTCTTCCAACCCTACATGGCCCTTGCAATAATCAATTTTCAAAAAATCAAAACCCTCAAATAAGTTCTTTCTTCCTAGTCACCAGTCCACACCGTAAATTTATAACATCATCATGTCCACTGCTTCTCTCTCTATAAATTCTGCTATCTCTCCTGCTTTAGTATCTACATCTGCTTCCTCTTCTTCCTCTTTTTCTTGTAAAGTTTCTTGCTTTTGTACATCAAGAACGACAAAACACATATGTGTAATTTGTGTAAGAACTCAATTTCTCAAGTGTAGTCTGCCCAAAAGGAGTACAAGGTTGAGAATCTTGAAATCTAGAGAAAAGCCCTCTATTGCAGCTGTCAGTAGAGACAACATGACTATTACAGAGTACAGAGAAGAGGAAGAAGAGGAGAACCCTCCTCCTTTGCTTGAGTCTGAGATGAATTCTAAACCTAGGAGGATTGCGCTCTTTGTTGAGCCTTCTCCCTTCGCGTGAGTCTTTAATTCTTTCATTTGACTATCTATTACTACTTTCATTTGCACATTTCTGGCATGTTTGGTTAGCAGGATTATTGGAGGAAAAGAAGCTCAAACATTGTTTACTGTACTGTCTAGTCCCGCATCAAGCACATACTTCATGTTTAAGGTCGTTTATAGTGTTCTTGCCGGCAAGATTTATTTTTTAAAATTTTCTTGGTAGTGCTTGCTTATTTCTTTTTGATGAATGTACCTTGATGCGAGTTAAAATATGAAGTTAATTGTCTTTGATTTGCTTTTTACATATTGAGAGAGGGAACATTAGTATCAATTGGAGGATTTTGATGCAAATTGCATTATTACCATGATTCTTTTAATTAATTTTCATTAGTATATAATTGCACTTACGCATTCTGCCAGCTGTTTCTGTCTTGAAATTGATTAGAAGTTATTTTGGACAATAATTTCTTGATATTAACTCATAGTACACATCAGCTTAAGTTTAAAGATTTTACTCTTTACTATAGAGTAATGCTATTTAGTATCACTAGTGTTACAACATTAATTAAGCCTCATTAAATGAGGGGCGAAATTAATGAATTGCGTAATTTCACATTTATTTGAACCTATCACATAATGTATTGGTGTTTTGGCTCTAGCACCACTAGTACTGGATAGCAATATTCTTTATGATAGTTAGCCAGCATCTCCAACACTTTGACAATAATGGTTTTTGTAGATATCAAGCTAATATTAAACATAATTTAGAAAATAAATTTAATTTTCTATGAGGTGTCACTTGTTTGATATCTAACATGGGAATCTTTTTCATTTAACTCCTTAGTATGAATTTTTATAGTTTTCTTCAAGTTGGATGCCTGGGACTTGATTATGTATTGAGTTTCCGCTTTGGCATTGTACCTGATGTATGCTTTAAATTAAAAATAAGTCATCTAGTCAAAAAGTTATTTACATAATTTTTATCTACATACAACTGTCAAACTTGCTCATAGCTTATTTTTATGGTACACAAACACAGAGCACGTGTTTGTTTAATCCGTTTGCAGGCTATTGCACTTTGTAGGGTTGAGTAAACGACCTGTTAACCCATATTTTAGTTTTTTTTTTAATTCATGTCTTTTCTTTGTTTGTCATTCTACTATTTGTCCAACTCTTATCTATCATCTTTATTAAATATTTGATTTCCTTTCCAGTAATGTCGAGTGACTCGACTTGCAGGTCCTAATCAGTTATCTTCAGTTTTTATTCTTTCTATGCTTTTCATGTTTGCTTCCTTTAAATATTTTGTCCAGATGTCTTTTCACTGTCTCTGATTTCATACATTGTTTTCTCCCGTTAGATAGAAGTATTTTATAGTGATTTTATGTTCTTTTCAAAATATATACAGTTATGTCTCCGGATACAAGAACAGGTTCCAGAATTTCATTAGATATCTACGTGAAATGGGGGATGAGGTATGTTTTTTGCATTTTCATAAATATTGCTTGCTATTAACTAGAGATAATAATTATCCTTATATTTGCAACTGTCCAAAACCGAACTTAGTGTTTTGATAAGTTATGAGCAGTCGCTATTGAGGTTATGAAACTACCTTTTCATTTTTAGTTAATTAGGTTATAAGAATTATTTTGACAATGCGTTTTCTTGAAATAAGTGATACATATATAGCAAGAATGTTAGCATGAAATGACATCCATAGTAGCTAAATTGTAGTGTGCATTTCTGCACTTTCTGCAGGTGATTTTGCACGGTTAATTTCTGTTGTTACATTTGGATGTTGGATGCAGGTGATGGTTGTGACAACGCACGAAGGAGTTCCGCAAGAATTTTATGGAGCAAAATTGATCGGCTCACGAAGGTTAGTTCATATGGTTTCTTGTCTGATGAGTAATGACATTACATCACAAATTTTTCATAATTAACCAAACGAATGGATGTCCGAATCATGCGGTCTGAAGTGATATAACCTGTATTGCTCGGCTAGTTGTTTTACACTACCTTGTTTTGATAAGCTTACCTCTTTGCAGCTTTCCGTGTCCGTGGTACCAAAAGGTACCCCTGTCTCTGGCCCTCAGCCCAAGAATAATCTCAGCAGTTGCCGAATTCAAGCCCGACATTATACATGCATCTTCTCCTGGTATTATGGTATGCTTTTAATCAGCTTCTTTTGTTGCTTTTTTCTTAGCCAAATATTGTATATATATCTTTGTAACAATCTTCCGAAAGGAAAACCAGCCCATGTTGCTGTGTTTAATAATCTATTTGTATTCCAGGTCTTTGGTGCTCTCATTATTGCAAAATTACTGTGTGTGCCAATAGTGATGTCGTATCACACCCATGTTCCTGTGTAAGTTCAAATACTTTGATTCCATCAATAATTAATTTTCTTCTAATTGACATTCAGTTACTTTATCATAAAAATTGGGATAAGAGAGTACTGTTGTCTCATTATGGTTCTACTTTTATGTGAAATGTAAGAAATTTGAGATCTGAGCTGATTCCTTAATTCATATTACACAGATACATACCGAGATACACCTTCAGTTGGCTGGTCCAACCAATGTGGATGGTTATAAGTATGTTAGATTTTCTTTCATCATAATTTAGTTTTAATTTTGATTTAATGGAACATAATAAATGTCGAATGATGTTTCTCCAGAATTTCTTCATCGAGCTGCTGATCTTACACTAGTGCCTTCTGCCGCAATTGGGAAGGATCTGGAAGCCGCTAGGGTGACAGCAGGTGAAAATTGGAACTTAAATCCAGAACCCAATTGATTAGTTCCTAGAACCAATTTAATACAGCCTCACTGTTCTCTTATGCAAAGATATCCATTTTTTCAAAGATACAAATGAATTTCACTTATTTTACATATTTCTAATACGGTGTGTTTTATAGCATTCTGCATGTCTCTGGAGCAGTGTTCAAAATGATTTTTTTATCTCCTTTTCATATTTTCAGCTAACAGGATTCGTCTCTGGAATAAGGGTGTTGATTCTGAAAGCTTCCATCCCCGTTTTCGATCCTATGAAATGCGAGTAAGGTTAAGGTAAGGAACCGCTTCTGTGCTATTTCCACAACTTTGGGAGTTGACTTCAACTTTTCTTGACAATTTCTTTCTGAATCAGCAATGGAGAACCCGACAGACCATTGATAGTCCACGTAGGACGGCTTGGAGTTGAGAAGAGTTTGGAATTCCTCAAAAGGTATTTGATTTCTATTTTTGTGCAGAACCTTTGGTCATATAGAAGTCCCTTCTAGTATAGTAGTAAAATTTACCACTGACCTCTGTGATTGATATTTGGAACAGTGTCATGGATAGGCTTCCAGAAGCTCGGATTGCTTTTATCGGGGATGGTCCGTACAGGTGAGACGGAACACCTCTTAGCTGCCTTTGTTCCAAAATCGCTGCCTCCAAATTATATTTTCCGTGTGAAAATTTCTGAAGTTGACAGTAAATAGAAAGCTACCCTAGAATCGGTAGACTTAAGGACAAAGTCTGTCTAAAGAATTCATTATTAAGCCTCCATTTGGATACAAATTTATACATGGTTTATATATTTAGTCGAAATCAAACATTAATTTCAACTATCCATTTATAATTACTAATTATTATTCACACATTTAGTGGGACCCACAACTTATTCCTCTTTATAAACAATTTATATATTTGCCAAATAGAGGCTAAATGGGATAATTGATTAGTTAATTTGATTGACATCTTTGATTACAAATCCATAAATGTTTTTTAGCTTTGATGATTGATTTAGCCTCCTTTTGATGATTTATAAATTGGTCAAACTTCATTGTTGGTAAGGGAAGTTCATTGTGGGCTCTAGGGATTGGGGAAAAGGTGGACACTGATGGTATGTTTCATAGGGATCATTGGATGGTACTGACAGCAGTGGAAGAAAAAGAAGCTAAAACTTTGTGTTCATTAAATTGTTGAGTCTTGTTCAGTATTGTTCACCTAACATGCACTGAAGGGGCTTCCAAGGTCCTCGTGATTTTGAGATTAGTAACTAAATTATGAATCCACAAGGCATGGTTTTTTTTTTTCCCCCCTCGGATTTGTTCTACCTGGACAATACCTATACTAAGAAATAAGGAGAAGCATTTATGAAGCGAGATATGAATGTCCTAGTATTTGTTCCTGACTTAAGATGACCCACAAATATATTAACTGCATGTTGTTTCTTTCTGTTAGAGAGGAACTGGAGAGGATGTTCTCCGGCATGCCTGCAGTTTTCACGGGAATGTTACAAGGAGAAGAGCTCTCGCAGGCATATGCTAGTGGAGATGTTTTTGTTATGCCTTCCGAATCCGAGACCCTCGGGCTTGTCGTATTGGAGGCCATGTCATCAGGACTTCCCGTGGTGGCTGCTCGTGCTGGAGGAATCCCGGATATCATTCCTGAAGAACATCAGAGTAAAACTGGTTATTTGTTCAATCCTGGAGACCTGGACGACTGCTTGAACAAACTGAAACCCCTTCTGCACGATCAAGAACTTCGAGAAACTATTGGCAAAGCAGCACGTGTCGAAATGGAGAAGTATGATTGGAGGGCTGCCACTCGGAAGATACGGAACGAACAATATAATGCTGCGATTTGGTTCTGGAAGAAGAAGAGAGCCCAGTTCTTGCGGCCACTCCAGTGGTTGTTTAAGCGCATGTTCAGGCCCCAGGCCCCTGCAATTGAATTATAAGTTATGCATTCTATTTGCTCGATTGTGAACATCACATAATTGGATTATCCAAAATCAGACATGCTTGATTGTAACATATTGACCTTAAATATTGGTCTGCCGTGGTCTGATTGATTCATTGGATTGATTTAGATGTAATTTCAGAGTAATTTATGGAAAGAAAAAAAAGGTTGGCAATGTTGTGCTATTTCTTCTTTACATGAATCGTTCTGCATAGGGCTCGGTATGGTCCTATTCGGTTCTGAAGAGAATCGAACCGAACTAAAATTTTCGGGTATTTAATAAATTGAACCGTCAGGTCCAAATATAATTTTGGAACCGTTCGGGTTCGGTTCTGTTCGGGTTCGGTTTGGTTCGGTTATATACTATAATTAAAATTTTTAACAGATTTTTAATTATCAATGATCAGCGATCGTGATTGGAGGTCGCGGCTTCGTTGGGCATTGGAGAGGGGAAGTCGGACTCGGTAGTCGGTGATTTCGATTTGGACATGTAGATCTAGGTTTTCAATTTATGAAATGATTTGAGGTCACTAATTTAGTGGTTACCGAATGAAAGTGTGAAATTAAAATGAGAATGATAAAAACTTAAAAAAACATAAATCTTGGACTAAAAATGAAATTAATAATATAACAAAAAAATTAAATCAAACAGTTGAATTTAAAAATTGGGTTGGGTTGGGCTGGCTAGGCATGGTTTCACGGGTTACCTTTCTTCTTAACACAGAAAGGGACACCGTGCAGCCGTAGTCTGCTCCGCTAGACTACCTTCCGCCTTCTCTCTGTCGTTTCGGGACGAAAGGAAATTTGATTACAATT